ATTCAAATTTTTTGTTGGCCTTGAGTACATTGAAGAACGGTAAACAGCGATCCGTAGCTCTCGATACGAAGCGACTCAGAGCCGCTATTCTCCTATTCAAGCTCTGAACTTTCTTAAGTTTTGTGGGACTTTTCATATCTAAGAGAGCTTGTATTTTCTCGGGGTTGACTTCAATTCCCCGATGGTTAACCATGTACCCTAGGAATTTACTTAAGACTACTCCGAATGAACACTTAAGAGGATTAAGTTTCTTTTTGTATTTTCAAAGTATGTTGAACATTTCTGTGAGGTGGGTTATGTGATCTAAAGCGACATGGAATTTGACTAGCGTGTCATCGACATAGACCTCCATTGTTTTCCCGATCAGCTCGAAATCGGTTAACCAGATGCTAGTAGGTTGCCCCAATGTTTTTCAAATAGAAAAGCATGACTTTGTAGCAATACAACCCCCGATCTGTGATGAACAAGGTGTGCTTCTCATCGGCGTGAACATCGAGATCTAATTGTATCCTGAATAGGCATCCATCAAGCTTAGGAGCTCGTGTCTGAAAGTGGCATCAACAAGTTGGTCGATTTTGGGCAAAGGGAAACTACCCTTTAGGCAAGCTTTGTTGAGATCTGTGAAATCAATGCAAGTTTGCCATTTACCATTGGGTTTTTTCACCAAACAGGATTGGCGACCCAACTAGGGTAATCAGCTTCCTAAATGAACCCAATTGAGAGGAGCTCGTTCACCTTACTTTTAAGAGCCGCGTAGCGCTTTGGGTCCATAGCTCTTATTTTCTGGCAATTGGCTTGATCTCACTGTCGATGTTAAGCACATGACATTTGACCTCAAGGATGATCCCAATCATGTTAGCATGTGCCCATGCAAAAACATTGATATTCTATTTGAGAAAGCTCGCTAAATTGGCTATAAGCTAAGGGTTGAGGTTACTTCCGATTCTTAGCACACAAGTTGGCTCATGCTCGTCAATAGGTACCTCAAACAAGGTCTCAACTGGCTCACTATGGGTATATTTCTCTTGCACATGAGGATCGATACTGTCTTTCACTAGACCAGGCTGTGGCTCGATCCTGCTGATCGCCATTGCCAGCTTAGGGTTGCCCTCGGGCTTTGCTTTTTCATTACATGCCATCTGGACTGCTTGGTTGTAGCAGTCACGAGATTCACGCTGTGATCCCCTAACTTCCCCACACCTTGTTGGAGTGGGGAACTTCATCTTCTGATGATTGATGGAGGTGACAGCCTTGAAGTTCCGTAGTAGAGGTTGTATGAGAATGTCATTAAATGTTGAGGGACAATCTACTACCAATAATTTTGTCATCTTGGTAACTTCATAAGGATCACCCAAAGTGATCGGAAGAGAAATCATTTCCCCGGAAAGTTAGATTCTCCCTGATAAACCATAAAGAGTAGGAGTTATAGGCTTCAGGTCTGTATCTTCCAGTTTCATCTCCTCAAAGGCTCGCCGAAATAGGATATTTATGGTGCTTCCATTGTCCACCAGCATCCTATGGACTTCGCACCTTCCTATTTCAGCTATGACAACTAGTGCATCCTCATGAGGGTGGTGCACTTGTTTCGCATCTTTCTCAAAGAAGGTAATTTCCTTTTCTCTGTGTAGTTTGCTTAGTTACAGTTTCAGATTGAGCACATGTAACAACTGCTATAAACTAGTACAATGCATGCATAATAATAATGGAAAATGTGCCCAAAACTTTCTTTTTATAATAAGTACTAAGTCTTTTATACACAAAGAGCATTATTTACAAAATGCCATTTAAAAAGACAAAAACAGGGGAAACAGTGTAGCTATTGCTCCTCGCTTGCCGACGCCCCTCCGACTGCATCATCACCTAGATCCTGCATCCACAAAGGAAAATAACGGGGTGAGCACAAAATAATGCTCAGTAAGTAAACCCTCTATCTATCTATCCCCGTAAGTACTTCTCTTAATTCTTTCCTCACACTTTCTTTCTATTGTTTTCTACTAAACGTCATGGCCTCATCTTACCGGAGGTACGGCCGGATGGCGTTCACACAGCACCATCTCACTCTGCATGACTGTTGGGTGGAGTTCACACAGCACCAACCCGCTCTTAATGACTACCGAGTAGGGATCACAAAGCACCTATCCGGTTTCCATAACTATCGGGTGACGATTACAAAGCATCAACCTGTTTCTCATGATTTTCGGGTGACGATCACAAAGCATCAACCCTTTCTAATAACTATCAAGTGACGATCACAAAGCATCAACCCTTTCTAATAATTATCGGGTGACGATCACAAAGCATCAACCCTTTTCTCATACTCTTCTCATAGCACTTCTCATTCTCTCTACCCTTAGAGTAGTTGCATTCACAAAATTCTCTACTCATAGAGCAAGTGCCTACACAAAGTTTTCTACTCTTTCTTAAGTCATTTCTCCATGCACAATTAATGTCTATGGATGGTTCATCTCCACTAATGCACTTATGAAATGCCAACATGCAATGTTGCAAGAATTAAGGTTCACTACTCATACTCAAACCTCTATTAGGCATTTCATCAAACAACTCAAGTGCATAATAAAACTCTACTATAACAATAATTCTATGTCTTTCTCTAACCATCCAAAATGGGAGAAAACTCCCTCACATAGCCATAATTCCTGCCAAAGAATAACACTTCCAAAAAGGATTTCTCAATATCCTTCAATTCCATCTCAAACTACCTTTCCAACCCACATCTCATTTCTCATAATTGAAATGTATGAACAATCACAAAGCAATAATAATCTCCATTTGAGACTCAATAACATAGCATATAACATGTATACAACATTCATACATAATTGCTATTAAAACCCTAATCAAGAAAATTCTCAAATCTCAACTTGGGTTGGGATTTACTTACCTTGTTATGGAGAGATCTCACTAGCACTTCCTTTCTCTTGGTTTGCTTGATTTTTCTCTACCCTTAAACAATTCAACCAAAGGCCCTCAATATTCAAATACACTCAAATTTCACAAAACTTCACATCCAAAGCAAGAATCCTTACCTTAGGATGCCTTAGATTGCTTTCCTACCCCAAATCACTCTAAAAGCCCTCTTAAAAATCTTGAACAAATGAAAGAAAAATTGAGAGGAAGTAAGAAGGGAGAGTGGCGATGGAGAAGAAGAATGAAGGGTTTACAATGACTTAATTCCTTTTAACACATTTTATGCACAAGCATTCCCATTTTGCCCTTACTCTTCCTTAGGAACTCCATCTATATCCTTTGATTCATTACAAACACACCCCCACATTATCATATTCTCCATGAAAAATCCTTTCAATTTACTCCCCACTTTTCCTACTAATTAGGGGTAGAATGGTCAAATTGCCCCTAGGGAAGAGAATATCTAAAACTTAACAAACAATTTGATTGGCACGTCGCCGCGGCGAGGAAGCTTCTGTCGCCGCAGCGAAACTGTCCAGCAGCTTCCCCGTGGCTTCGACACCTCTTCGCCGCGGCGAAGATTCTTCTTTGCCCCGGCGAAGCCTGGAACACAAAACTTCCTTTATTTTAACCAGTTCAAGGCAAATGTTCAACATAACACTCAATCAAAGGTCAACCAAACAATAATACTAATAACCCAACTCAAATAAGAGCAAAGGAAGAAACATTAGCTACGTACCTCAAGTGGGGCGTTACAGCACATTGAAGGGCTCATATCGGGCTTCTTGGACATACTTATCTTGTGCATGCTGAGAGATCCTTACAATATGAGGTCCCACAATGATGGTCCCTACCAAGTAGAGACCTTTGCAACCTACGTGCCTTTCCCCATCTCTTGATCCTTCTCCCTCATGGGAGTTGGACCATTAACATACTCTTTAAAATGACCTTTTTGGATAAGGTCTTCAATTGCTTGCTTGAGAGCTCAACACTCATCGGTATGATGCCCATTATCCCTATTGTAACGACAATATTTCTTGCCGTTCCTTTTAGACATGGGTTTCTTCATAGGCTCTAGTTCTCTGAGTAGATTGGCTTCTGTTGATTTATCAAGAATGGTTGAGATCGATGTGTTGAGTGGAGTGAAGTTATTGTGGTCGCGACGAGGAACTGGAGCATAAGATTTCTTGGGCTTAAACCGTTTTTTCTTTCCCTTTCTCTAATCATCATTAGCTCATTTATGATCATTCCTTCTACTAAATTCATCCCTCTGACTGGAAGCGCTGGTCGAAGGCCTGGGGTCGTGGCGATTTAGAGCTGCCACTGAGTTTTTTATCCGCATATATTTCTCTGTTAGGTTATAGAATCGAGTAAGGGAAATATCGTCATCCAATTGCAATTTCCTCTACAGATCGGTTTGCGGGAAAATCTAGCAATAATCAAAGTTTGAACTAAATCTTCAGGTGTATTAGCCACCTTATTTAGTTTCTTGCGGAACATGTCAATGTAAGACTAGAGAGACTAATTCTTCTTCTGTCGTATGTTGCTTAAATAGCTGGGCGGCATCGAGAACTTCCAATTAGCTAAGTAGTGTCTCAAGAAAAATGAGCTCATCTGTTGCCACGAGTTGATAAAACCTGATGGAAGCGATCTGAACCAACGTTTAGCGTGGACAGTTAGAGTCACTAATAAGCAGCGACACTTTGCCAAGTTTAAAACTTGGTGAAGCTTCATGAGGTCATTAAACTCATAGAGGTGATCCTGAGGATTAGCATTCCCATTGAATGCCTTTATGTCGGGTATCCTAAATCTTGACGAGAGATGAGCATTCAAAATTGCTAGAGAAAAGGGAGACACCTTAGCGATCGCTCCTTACTCATTCTGCTAAGCTCGAAGTAAATCCTAAGCTCATTGGAACACCTCTATCTGAGGAAGCAGAGCCCTTTGGGGATCACTTTCGGCAATGTAGGTACGCTCCCTACGATTGTGGTTGATGAAAGACCGTAGGTCGGTGCTTTCTCTGCCTTGGCCGAAACCTTCAGCATGCCTTGACACTTGCAAGCCTAAGCCTTATGAAGGCGCTAAGTGGCTGGGCGAGTTTTCCCTATCTCTATGGTGGTCAGAATCGACCCGCTGATGCTGGGTACTTCTCTCGCGGTAATGGTTGGAACCATCATGCCGACGATAGTGGGAATCTGCATGCCTGGCACTTTGACGGGCATGCCCCTATGACATGCCATGGGCTTGCTCTTGGTGCGAAATACTGCCAAGTCGCTGAGCCACAAGTTTCTTCCCTTACTCGCGACCAGTATTCGCATGCCCCTTTGAGCTTTTCTACCATTGCTCTTTTGCACTATAGTGTGCGTGGTGTGAGCTTTGGCTCGTTTCCACACTTTAGAGCAAACCTACATGCGTTTTTGGAGGTGGTACCACCTTGTCTGGATTTGGTGGCATGACCTGGTCTAAAAGATCCAACCTCTACTTCATCGTTTGGAAGGTATTATTGAACTTCTCCAGGTAGCCGATCAAAGCAAGATTTGCCTGGGAAGTGGGGGGGATGCTCCCCGCAATGTTTTTTTTTTTTTTTTTTTTTGGGGGGGGGGGGGGGGGGGGGAGGAACTATTTCGGGGGAGTAGTCTCCTGATTGTGGGGAATCTCCTCGTTACTGGTGCTAGTACGCTTGACTTCAAAACCATGAACCATGAGATTTTGTGGTTAATATTTGAAGATGAAACTGATTGATCAATTGAGATTACTGGATCGAGAGCTGATGTGAATCTAGCCCTTCTTCTAGCGCCAAATTATTGATGTTGGATTTTGACACCAACGACGTCGCACGTGCAAAATGCTAAGAGTTTTAGAAATTACACGTGAATGATTATGGAAGTTGAATAGGGTATTGTTTTCATAGTAGCATGCAAAGACGTAAAGTAAATGAGACAATAAAGGTTTTTATAGTGGTTTGGATGCCTAAAGTGATTCTCACATCCACTATTTTCTTATATAGTAGTGTGTTCCTGGTTATTAACCAAGATTACAAGAGGTCGCGAACTACGATATGGGTTACAGGTTCTTGGTGTTCTAAGTGTTCTTAGAGAATATCAAGCTAGTCTCTTTCCCGTGGTGTGTCTTTGCTATTTTCTTTGTTGAATTCAGAGTGTCTGGTCCTGATTTTGTGAGGGGGAGCTGCCTATTTATACCCACTGAGCTCAAGGTAATGATTACATATCTGCAAGTGGGTTGCTGCAGTGCAAATTGCTCCCGACGACCCATTGGCTGAGAACTTAAGAAATATTCTTAAATTAAATGGGACTTGGACAGGTGTGCGAACCAAATTCATTCACAAACAAAACTTGAGTTGGCTGGGTTGTTGACAGCTATATTCTTTCTATCTTGGGTGAAGTGGCAGACTCTGGACGGTGCAAAGCCTTCCTGAACTCTGATTGGTGTTTGTGACATCAGCTTATGTAAGCTTTGACTTTTTAGGCATAACATATCTATTTAAAAAAAAAAAAAAACATTACATTAAGATCTATTTTAGTTCAATTTCTATTACTTTAATTTAATTTTTGTTAAAGTATTTAAAAAAATTAGAAAAAGAAAGAGATATATTTGTGATGTGTATCTATTGCTAGAATACTTTAACTTATTAGCTTTATAAATTTTTTTAGTAGCTGTGATTTCACTTATATTAATAATTTTTATTGTATACATAGATTATTGTTATTGTTTGGTTCATATTGAGTACATAGCTTATTTTGTTGCATTTTTCTCTATCAAGTAGTAATATGTTGTTGTTTTGAAATAGTATGGAGAGATGTGTCAAAAGAAAGTCAACAATGATCTCATCATTTGAACAAGAGGAACATATTGGTGATTCAAGTAAAGAGTGGATGTTGATTTGTGAGATCTTCCTACGGATCTGGGCTTAAGACCCAAAATTTTAGATTATGATCCTAATATTCAAGATCAAATCCAAAGAATATATTTGGAAAGGGGTCCTTGTCAACCTAAGGTCCATGAGTTTCCTTCTAGATATTTTGGCGGATTTTCAAGACGATTTGTTGTTTCTTGGTTTAGTGAATTTGAACAATGGTTGGAATATAGTGTAGCAAAATATGCTGCGTTTTGTCTTTATTCCTATCTTTTTAAGCCAGATGGTGATAAAGGAGGTGGTGATCGCCTTGTTGGTCAAGGATTTTGAAATTGGAAAAAAAAAAAAAATTTGAATATCCACGTTGGAGGTTCTAATAGTGCTCATAACCAAGCTCGAAGAATGTGTGAATCATTATTGAATTAAGAGAAATATATTCAGACATTTTTTGATCGACACTCTTCTTAAGCACGAACAGAGTATCGAACTTGTTTAAATGCTATAGTTGATTGTATTCGTTTTCTTCTAAGGCAAGGACTTGCATTTCGTGGTTATGATGAATCCTATGATTCAAGCAACCAAGGGAATTTTCTCGAGCTTCTACGATTTCTTGTTAATCATAATGAAGATCGAACTTGTTTAAATGCTATAGTTGATTGTATTCATTTCTTCTAGGGCAAGGACTTTCATTTCGTGGTAATAATGAATCTTATGATTCAAGCAACCAAGGGAATTTTCTCGAGCTTCTACGATTTCTTGTTAATCATAATGAAGATTACAATGCTGTAGCTTTCAAGAATGCTCTTGATAATGTCAAATTTTCATCACTTGAGATACAAAAAGACATTGTAAGTGCTGTTTCAAATGAAACCGTAAGTGTTATCATTAGAGATTTAGGAGGTTCATTATTCGATATAATGATTGATGACTCTCGTGATATCTCTAGGAAGAAACAAATGGCTATTGTCTTACATTATGTTAACAAGAATGGACTTGTGGAGCACTTTCTAGGTGTTGAACACGTTATAGTACCACAACTCTCTCACTTAAGGCAACACTTGATAATTTCTTTTCAAGGCATGGGTTGAGTTTTTCTAGGCTGCGAGGACAAGGTTATGATGGAGCTAGTAATATGCAAGGAGAATTTAATGGTTTGACGACACTTATTTTGAAAGAGAATAGATGTGCTTATTATATTCATTGTTTTGACCTTCAACTCCAGTCGGCTCTTGTGGCTTTTTAATATTGTAGCGATTGTGGTTAATATTATCAATGTTCTGTCAAAGCGTTGCAATATTCGTAGAGATAAGCAAGTTTATAAAGTTATTGAAGTTCTTTCTAGTGGTGAACTTTCAAGTGGAAAAGATCTCAATCAAGAGACTAATATGCAACGTGCCAATGATACGTGTTGGGGCTCGCATTATGGTACGTTAATGAGCATAACCTTGATGTTTTCATCCATTATTGATGTTCTTGAAATTGTGGCAAAAGATGAGTCAAACTCTGAGCAAAGATTTCATGCAAAAAACATATTGAAACTGATGCAATCATTAGACTTTGTGTTTACTCAATTTTTGATGAAAGGTATAATTGGCTTTACAACTGAACTTTCTCAAACACTACAAAGAAAAGATGATATTGTAAATACTATGATTTTGGTTGAAGCATGTAAGCAAGCTTTACAATTGATGAGGGATAGTGGATGGGAGACTTTATTAAGCAAAGTTTGTTCTTTTTGTGCCAATCATGACATCAATGTTTCTAATATGGATGATTAGTTTTTTATTCAAGGATGATCACAATGTAAGGCTCAAGGTATCACAAATATGCATCATTACCGCATTGAATTATTTTATAATGTCCTAGATATGCAACTTCAAGAGTTGAATAATCTTTTCAATGAGGTAATTAACACTGAATTGCTTATTTGTTTGACATGTTTATGTCCAAATGAATCATTTGTCGCTTTTGATAACAAAAATTGATGCACCTTGCCAAACTTTATCTAGATGATTTTTCTGACTTAGAAATCATGGCACTTGATTCTCAACTTAATGTTTACATTTTAGATATGCACTCTAATGTTAAATTTATGAGATTGAAAGGGATTGGAGATCTTGCAAAAATGATGGTTGAAACTAAGAAGGATAGAGTGTTTTCATTAGTTTATTTGTTGATGAAATAAGCATTGATTCTACCCGTTGCAACTGCTAGTGTAGAGAGATCATTTTCAACAAAGAATTTTGTAAAGAATCATTTGCGAAATATAATGAATGATCAATTGTTGAATGATAGAAAGATGTATTTGATAGTATTGATAATGACGTCATTATACAATACTTTCAAAATATGAAATCTCATCGAGGACAATTATAAATGTATTAGTTGCTAAGAATTTTATAAATATAAAATTTGTGCTTATGTTAATTTAAAATTGTATTGTTTTTCCAACTTTGACCCCTTACATTTTATTTATTGCTATGTCCCTTCAAATATACATCCCTCAAATTATCTGAGTTCTTACTTCTTAATATATAATACCAATCTGACTATACATCCTTATTTTTAGGCATGGCAATGTTCCTTGGAATTCCAGGGACCTGTCCCACCCCGCCCCATATGGGGTGGGGAAGCCCCGATTTTTTCGGGGATAGGGGCGGGGGACATTTTATTCCTTGTCCACGGGGATGGGGCGGGGGTGGGTGATGCCTTTCCCCTGCCCCCTATATAATATATAAAATTATATATATATATATAATTACACAATTAACCTACCAATATAAACCCATATTTTCCCAATTTCTCTCACCCAAAACAATTGAACAAGAACAAACCCTAACCCATAATTATGTAAAATTAACTATATTTAAATGATTAATTTAAGTGTTTGTCATGTAGACAAGAATTAACTATTGTGTTTGGTAATGCTCAAATTAATTTATGTTTATGTAAAATTAATGGGGCAGGGACGGGCCTCGAACATTCCCTTTTGGGGTCGGGAAAGGGAATTCCTGTCATCCCTGTAACAGGGATCGGGCGGGGAGTGATTTTGAGGGCGGGAATGGATACGGTGACTGAGATCCCTGCCCCATTGCCATGCCTATTTATTTTATTATCTAAAAACATGTAACATATAAATATATATAGCTATTATATTCTCTACATAGTTAGCCACCCAAGTGCAAATCATTTGTAGCAGTAATTAATGAGACGAATTAAGCCATGCCATATATTCATGATCAGCCTCCTTGGTTCAAGGAACAATCATGATCATTAGTTTATATATCAAACAACTTCAAATATATGAATGTATATATTGATTTGTGTGAGTAGAAAGGTGGGTAACCGAGAGTAAAATTTAGAGTTTTGACTGAGCAAATACAATTTGCAGCTTTATGTTTCCTTTAGCTTTACAGCTAAGCTTAATCTGGCATTCATAGATATAAGACTCGACCTAACCTAATATCAATATCGTCTGATTCAATTTCTGACCCAAGAAAATGAGACATATACATATAATCTTAATAATAATTGAGGAGATTTTAATAATGAAATCATGATTGTATGGTATGGAGGAGGAAAGAAAGAGAGAGTCAAAGCGCCACCGCCAACTGACAGAAGCCCAACGTGGAGTTTGTGTCAGCCAACTCGTCTCTTATTATATGCCACATGGCATCGCCAACAATCTCTCATTAAATACTTACTGATAATTACATTCCATAGCACCATGACTAATTGCTCTCCTCCTCTTGTTTCCCATTGATGATGGTGCCTGAAGAAGTGAATGGTGATAAGAAAATTTGATCCTTTCACTAATAATTTTTCAAAACATTATGTAATCACTTATAGAAATACAATAATGCTACGGACACAGGGACTGTGCACCAAATTCTTACACTGAATTACGTGTCACGTGACTTAGACCAGTCACGTATCACATTAACAAATATTTTGCGAGTGAACGGCTGTTCAATCAACTATAGATAGTCGTTAACTGTCATTGGGCGGGAGTCCATTATATGTGGACGCTCGTCCATGTGAAATGAACAATGGACGGGTGTCCACCTATAATGGACTCCCGTCCATAGTTTAAATTTAAAAAATTTGAAAACAAAAATCATGGACTCTCGTCCATATTCAATGGATGGGGGTCCATACTAAATGGACGGGTGTCCACATATACTGGACGCCCGTCGATAGTTAAATTAAAAACATATTTAAAACAAAGTAATGGACGCCCGTCCAAACTTTAAATTAAAAAAAATTATAAACAAAATTTAGGGACGCCCGTTCATATGTTATGGACGGCCGTCCCTGAATAATGGACGGGCATCCACATATAATGGACGGCCATCCATACTTTAAATAAAAAATAATAATAATAAAACAAAATTTATGGACGCCTGTCCATACTTTAAATTAAAAAAAAAAATTTATAAAACAAAATTTATGAACGCCCATCCATATTTTATGGACAAGCCTCCTTGATTAATAGACGGGCATCCTTATTAGATGGACGCCCGTCCATTGTTTAATGAGTATGTTAAAATGAAATTTTAGTCAAATTAATTTGGGTCCCAAATTAATTTTAAAAAACAGTAAGCCACTCTTCTTCTTCGCTCTTCTTCTTCGTCTTTATTCCTTATCTCTGGTCTTTTTCTTCATCGAAGTTCTCATTTGCTGCTCTTCTTCTTCATCAAAGTTCTCATCTGCCACTCTTCTTCTTCGTCGAAGTTCCTCATCTATCGCTATTCTTCTTCAAGTTCCTCATTTGCCATTATTATTGTAAGTGTTTTAGTCTATTTGGTTTCTGTTCATCACGTTTTATTGGTTTTGATTGATGATTGAGCTTGTTTTACAGCATTCACTTCTTTGTCTTGGTTCCTCATCTGCCGCTCCAAGTCGTTGAAGCCATCTGCCATTTTTCAAGTAAGTGTTTCAGTTAATTTGGTTTGTGTTCATCATGTTTTATTGGGTTTGATTGATGATTGAGGTTGAGTGGCTAAGGTATGAAGTATTAGTTATGACAATTCCATTATCGAAAGCAATTGATGAATGTGTTAATATTGTCGTTGAAGCCATCTGCCATTTTTTAATGTGTATTTTTTGATGCAAAATTTTGAATGAATTGCACTCAACAAATAATTGAAACCTGATTTTTTCCCATGATATGTAGTCTTGGTTACTTGGAACTTGGGTAGCACATTTCTGTTTGTGTACATATCCCTTAAAGCTTTAATCTCTGTCGTTTTGGCGTATGCATCATGGTAGCATGTAAAATCTGAATAACCTATTGTTATCAGGAACATAAAGTTTTCCCATACAGAGTAATGTAAAATCTAAATGAGTAATTGGTGTGCTGTCGTAGGCAACCAAGATTAAAAACCTTCCTAACCTAACTACTGAACTGTAAACAGGGTAAGCAAGGGTCGATCTCACGAAGAGTGTCTAGCCGAATTTTCAATGATGTGAACAAGGTTGGGGGGGTTTTGACTAAAAACAGAAAACAATCTCAGGAAAACAAAAGCAATTTAAATCGAAAATCAATCAAAATAACGAAACTTGGTCTCCGTCAACATCCACCATCGGAATCTTACAACTGATCATTGATGCAATAGTAAATCAATTCTTACTTTGAATATTCACCGTTGGAACTATTTTCCTATCTCTCATTAATCGTAATTAATTAGGAAACAAGCGATCTTAATTAATCTTACCACTAAACAACCCTANGGAGCCTAAGTTTGAGTTGGGGCTTTTTTTGCAGCTCTTTTTAATCACATGAAATTTAATAATTTAAGTGGTGTTTGTTTTTTTATCTGAAAACTGAATGCATCTGTTAACTTAATAAACATGAATATACAAGTCAAATCAATATGATTTATTTTTATTTTTTATTATTCAATGCCTGATTATAAGTATTGAATTTCTTTGCCGAATTCGTGAAGAGATGGGACTAGCTATACAAGGCCACATAGCCCAAAAAATCTGCACAATCCAGAGGAGCCCATGCAAATAAGAACAAAAACGGGTGCCCCCAGCCCACCCAACCTTCCCACGGACCCAGCCCAAAAGCTTGTCCAAGCAACAACCCACTCAAACGAAACTCGCAGATAAAAGCCCAGGCAAAAGAGAGCAAACGACTGACAGAGCAAGCTCATGCGACTGCCCACGCACCCAGCCCACAAAGCCTGCCCAAGCAACCAGCCCACTTAACAGCCCACACACAAACCAAATCTCACCACCCAAACAAACCACCCACATACTCATCAACAAAATCCCAGGCCCAACACCAATCAGCCCACCAAAACCCTTATGAAACAGTCCAGTAAAAGCCTCCCAAAGCCATCTTCTTATAAACCCAACCCACCTCCATTAAATCCAAGCCCAAGGGGACTCCATGCCCAAAGCCCGTAACCATAAATAAAAAGTAAAACCCACTCATCCAAAACACCATATGAACCTTCAGGCCAAGCCCGCACCCTCATTAGGCCCCTTAATCATCCATTTCCCTCTTCTAACAAACTTGGACACCAGATGCCGCATAAAAAATATGTTAAAAAACACAGCCCATTGCTAAACCTTCTTAAGTCTCTTTGGAGACTGGAACATAGAGGACTTTAAAATGGGACCTTTCTCATAATTAGCTGCAAATGAAATGGAAGAGGCAACAGCCCAATTACAAATAGAAGCTTAGAGGCTGGAGAAAATAAGCCGCCATTGAGGAACAGAAGATTAGTTCTTATTATAATAGTATTAATTAGTCATGAATCAATTGAAATGATACAAAGCAAAAAAGCCATACTGGAGGGATTCGTAGTTGATAGTTTATATGACATCAACTTATAATATTCTTCAATTGCAAACACAAATCAGATTGCTAAGTTTGACATAAGCTATGTTCGTCTTATTTTTCCACATTATATTATGTTGCTTTTGTATAAAATTTGGTAAAGAAATTATGATATATTAAAGAGAAGGGAAAAAAAAAATTATTACATATAAATACAATTAAAAAAACTTCGTATTTTTATTTGCCAACCAATTACATATAAAACCAAACAAGGTAGCCACTAATTGTGGTGTAATTGTTATATTTCTCAAGACTCGTATAATTCATTTATATGAAGTAAGAGGTTTTTCTATGATTGAGTGAAATTAGTACTTGGTTTAACTATGCATTTTGCACGGTGTAAAATCATATATATATAATTTATTTATTAATTTATTAATTATTATAAGGCATAATATCTTAAATTTTGTATCAATTCAAAATTGTCAATGATAAGACTTATCCATTAGTCAAAATTACTTTTTCTAAATTAAGAGTTTCTAGGTCATTGAAAACATTTTTCCGTTTATAGGATTTCTTATATAAAATATTATTTTATAAGTTTCACCTTTTGCTTTTCATATAATATAAATTCATAATTTATAGAATGTGTATATAATGACAACAAAATGACATGACCATATAAAAAGTTAAAAACTCTACCGTGAAGAATTTTTTATGAAATAATCTTTAAAACGAAGTTGGATACAATTACACGTGTCTCATGAGTTAGGCTTGCATATTATTGAAACCCAAAATTATTTGTTTTGGACTACCCAACTTAGTCTGTAGTCTCAAAAAGGGATACATTATTCTCCGTGGGGTATTGGCCACCACCCTATTCCTTTCGTTTTTCCACTCTTTCAGTCGATAATGGACCTTCATTGTGAAAAATCATGAAATTTTTTCAAAGCGTATTCTTCACCATCTATCATTTGATGAGGTGAGGTGGATAATGTGATTGAGAATCTCGTGCATATGTGGCCAAAACATGAAAAACCCATCCAAACGCACAACCTATTCCCTTCGTTTTCCCCCTTTTTTCTACCTGTTTACTTATGTGTTTACTTTTATTCTTTCTCTTTGTCTACTTGTGTTCTTTGTTTACTTTTGTGTCTACTTATGTTCTTTGACGTGTTCTTCCTTCGACTGTGTGTTTTGATGTTTTTTTCTTCCTTTGATTGTGTGTTCTTTGTCCACTTCTATTCTTTTTTTGATTGTTAATTGTGCTCTGTCATTTCTACGTCTATTTTTGCTCTTTCTATGATGTTTAACTTGTGTGTTCTTCCTCTGATTGTGTATTCTTTGTCCACTTTTGTGTCCACTTATGTTCTTTCTCTATGTCTACTTTAGTGTCTACTTCTGTACTTTGATGTGTTCTTCCTCTGATTGTGTGTTTTGATATTGTATTCTTCCTCTGATTGTGTGTTCTTTGTCTACTTTTGTTCTTTTGTTTTATTGTTAATTGTGCTCTCTCATTTTCTGTGTTCACTTTTGTTCTTTCTATGATATTTTACTTGTGTGTTCTTCTTCTAATAGTGTGTTCTTTCTCTGTGTCTACTTGTGTTCTTTCAAGTCTAGACGAGTTCACAATAGAACATCCATAGAAAGATGATAAGGCAATGCAGCATATGTATGATCGAGTTTTTGATGGCTATGTCACCCAAGATGATGTCGTTGAGGATACACAGGCAAATTTGATTTTCTTTTGATAATTTATATCTTATCATATGGCATCTACATGTGGTAACCTTTTAATCAACTAATATTTTAGTATGTTCATAATACAGTACTTAGTTTAATCTGCATTATAAAACCATCAATTCAATTAGCTTATCAACATAATCAAACCCATCAATTTCTTAAATAAAACCCAACCAACCAGGCCTTAATAATAACAATCATCCACCTTAAAAATAAAACCCAACAACCTAATATAAATGAGCTTCATTCTTCTTATTACAATCCAATTAAGAAGCAAACTCAAGTCACAACATAATCTCAATAAGGCCCAAGAATTTTAAATAAGTAATAAAAGCATATAACACCAAATATTAAGAACAATTTTGTTCCAACCAGCCACCCCTTACTCATTTCCGAATTCAAAACCCCATTATAACATCTTCTTTCTACTCACCCATCAATTAACCAAACCAAGTACACTTCCCTGCATAATCTCCTCAAAATCTTACACCTACATTTTAATCCATAAAAAACCCCAACCACCTTTACCTGCATAATTCGGCAAAAAATGCACTCCATACACGCACAATTTCAGCCCCAAAACACCAAAATTCCAGCCACGTTATACATACCCAGCCGAACATAGCAAAATAAATCTCCAATTTAATATAATAGTTTCCTTTCTAAATATTTTCTTTATGCTCTGTTTTGCCATATAAGAGTGATGACATCAACTTATAATATTCTTCAATTGCAAACACAAATCAGATTGCTAAATTTGGCATGAGCTATGTCTATCTTATTTTTCCCATTATCTTTGATGAATGTACATAGATTAAGATCATAGCTTGCGTTCCAGTGATCCTCCAGGCCACGATTCATCCAATAACTAAGCATTTTCGTAGCCAACTCAGAGGTCATAATACAAATGTCCTAAGAGAGGCCGAATTCCAAATTCAACTGTTGTCTCCTCAGAAGTAGAATGAGCAATTTCTTCCACTAACTTTTTGCCCTTGTACAGGCTCATCCTACCATCTTAATCCTACATAGTACTCGTAGAAGCGTCAGTTTCCTTTGTGGATAACCAAGATTCTTGTTTGTGTAACTGACTGAGACAAATTAAATCCTTTATATAATGAAAGAGGGCAATAAAACAACCTGAACTTCATACTAGCTTGTGTAGATAATTATCTGCAGCAATCTACCAGCTGCTTGACAAATTATACCTCTCTTCCATTTCCATGACATAATTTCTCGCAATCAAATTTTGGTTTTAGTTGTTTAAGTACATAACGCAAAAATCATGCTCAATAACTAAAATAAATACTACAATTAGTGAGTTAATTCTTGTCAGTTTATCACCTTGGTTACAAACAATAGTAGTTTTTTGCTAAGTATACACAAAATTGCCCTTATATGAAATTAAAATAAATTAAACTCTTTTTTTTTCTTTGTAGCTATCAGCCTATCAATCTCAAACAAAACCCCACCTTCTTCTTCCCCACATGACTTCTTTCTCTTCAACAACCTATCAAGCCAATTTTTTTCTTTTATCCACACAAGTGTAGTTTTCTCCCCCTATCAAGTCAACAAGCCTCTTTGTTCTTCAATTTTCCAGGTAATACATTTTATATTTGTATTTTTTTTTTTTTTTTAAATTTGAAAGTTCAAGGTTAAATTATAGATTAGGATTTATGAATTTGTAATTGCCATTGAGACCACAAATTGCATCAATTATTATTTATTTGTAATGATATATTCAAGTTAGAGGAAGTAAGAAGATAATTTTTAAAGTTATTTTGGAATAGACCTTGGGACCACATTATTTTACCCATACTTCAATTTGTTTTTTTTTTAATGGAGAAGATGAGTTCTTACGGCCACATTGCGTTACCCATTTTTATCTTTGTTATATAAAAGTGTTTGATTCAAATGAATTTTGGATTTATTTTGTGTTGTCTTTTTTATTTTTTATGGAGAAGATGGGTTCTTGGGACCACATTGTTTTACCCATTTTTATTTTTTCTATAAAAAAGTGTTTGATTCAAATGAGAGTTAACTTTAATTGTTTTACAAGTATTATGAAAAGTGGATTTAATTGTGCAAGTGTTTGGTTATTTGAATAGATTTTTTTACACATCAATTCAATTTTAGCCAATGTATATAATGTAAGATCTTGTTGATGCTAGATTTTGATACCAACGATGTCGCACATGCAAAGTGCTAAGAGAGTCTTAGAAATTACACGTGAATGATTATGGAAGTTGAATAGGGTACTGTTTTCACAGTAGCATGCAAAGACGTAAAGTAAATGAGACAATAAAGGTTTTTATAGTGGTTCAGATGCTTAAAGCGATTCCTACATCCATTGTTTTCTTATATAGTAGTGTGTTCCTAGTTATTAGCCAAGATTACAAGAGGTTGTGAACTACGATCTAGGTTACAGGTGCTTGGTGTTCTAAGTGTTCATAGAGAATATCAAGCTAGTCTCTTTCCCGTGGTGTGTCTTTGCTATTTTCTTTGTTGAATTCAGAGTGTCTGGTCCTGATTTTGTGAAGGGGAGCTGTCTATTTATACCCGCTGAGCTCAAGGTAATGATTACATATCTGCAAGTGGGCTGTTGCCGTGCAAATCCCTCTCGACGACCCATTGGCTGAGAATTTAAGAAATATCCTTAAATTAAATGAGACTTGGACAAGTGTGCGAACCAAATTTATTCACAAACAAAACTTGAGTTGGCTGGGTTGTTGACAATTATATTCTTTCTGTCTTGGGCGAAGTGGCAGACTCTGGATGTACAAAGCCTTCCTGAACTCTGATTGGTGCTCGTGACATCAGCTTATGTAAGCTTTGACTTTTTAGGCATAACAGATCTATTTTAAAAAAAAAAAAAAAAAACATTACATTAAGATCTATTTTAGTTCAATTTCTATTACTTTAATTTAATTTTTGTTAAAGTATTTAAAAATTAGAAAAAGAAAGAGATATATTTGTGATGTGTATCTGTTGCTAGAATACTTTTAACTTATTAGCTTTATAAATTTTTTTAGTAGTTGTGATTTCACTTATGTTAATAATTTTTATTGTATACATAGATTATTGTTATTGTTTGGTTCATATTGAGTAAATAGCTTATTTTGTTGCATTTTTCTCTATCAAGTAGTGATATGTTGTTGTTTTGAAATAGTATGGAGAGATATGTCAAAAGAAAGTCAACAATGATCTCAACATTTGAACAAGAGGAAAATATTGGTGATTCAAGTAAAAGAGTGGATGTTGATTTGCGAGATCTTCCTACGGATTTGGGCTTAGGACCCCGAATTTTAGATTATAATCCTAATATTCAAGATCAAATCCAAAGAATATATTTGGAAAAGGGTCCTTGTCAACCTAAGGGCCATGAGTTTCCTTCTAGATATTTTGGTGGATTTTCAAGACGATTTGTTGTTTCTTGGTTTAGTGAATTTGAACAATGGTTGGAATATAGTGTCGTGAAATATGCTGCGTTTTGTCTTGATTCCTATCTTTTTAAGCCAGATGGTGATAAAGGAGGTGGTGATTGCCTTGTTGGTTAAGGATTTTGAAATTGGAAAAAAAAAAAAGAAAAATTGAATATCCACATTGGAGGTTCTAATAGTGCTCATAACCAAACTTGAAGAATGTGTGAATCATTATTGAATTAAGAGAAATATATTCAGACATTTTTTGATCGACACTCTTCTCAAGCACGAACAGAGTATCGAACTTGTTTAAATGCTATAGTTGATTGTATTCATTTCTTCTAAGGCAAGGACTTTCGTTTCATGGTAATGATGAATCTTATGATTCAAGCAACCAAGGGAATTTTCTCGAGCTTCTACGATTTCTTGTTAATCATAATGAAGATTGCAATACTGTAGCTTTCAAGAACGCTCTTGATAATGTCAAATTTTCATCACTTGAGATTCAAAAAGACACTGTAAGTGCTGTTCCAAATGAAACCATAAGTGTTATCATTAGAGATTTAGGAGATTCATTATTCGATATAATGATTGATGAATCTCGTGATATCTCTAGGAAGAAACAAATGGCTATTGTCTTACATTATGTTAACAAGAATGGACTTGTGGAGCACTTTCTAGGTGTTGAACACGTTATAGTACAACAACTCTCTCACTCAAGGCAACACTTGATAATTTCTTTCAAGGCATGGGTTGAGTTTTTCTAGGCTGCGAGGACAAGGTTATGATGGAGCTAGTAATATGCAAGGAGAATTTAATGGTTTGACGACACTTATTTTGAAAGAGAATAGATGTGCTTATTATATTCATTGTTTTGACCTTCAACTCCAGTTGGCTCTTGTGGCTTTTTAATATTGTAGCGATTGTGGTTAATATTATCAATGCTCTGTCAAAGCATTGCAATATTTGTAGAGATAAGCAAGCTTATAAAGTTATTGAAGTTCTTTCTAGTGGTGAACTTTCAAGTGGAAAAGATCTCAATCAAGAGACTAATATGCAACGTGCCAATGATACGTGTTGGGGCTCGCATTATGGTACGTTAATGAGCATAACCTTGATGTTTTCATCCATTATTGATGTTCTTGAAATTGTGGCAAAAGATGAGTCAAACTTTGAGCAAAGATTTCATGCAAAAAACATATTGAAACTGTTGCAATCATTAGACTTTGTGTTTACTCAATTTTTGATGAAAGGTATAATTGGCTTTACAACTGAACTTTCTCAAACACTACAAAGAAAAGATGATATTGTAAATACTATGATTTTGGTTGAAGCACGTAAGCAAGCTTTACAATTGATGAGGGATAGTGGATGGGAGACTTTATTAAGCAAAGTTTGTTCTTTTTGTGCCAATCATGCATCGATGTTTCTAATATGGATGCTTAGTTTTTTATTCAAGGATGATCATAATGTAAGGCTCAAGCTATCACAAATATGCATCATTACCGCATTGAATTATTTTATAATGTCCTAGATATGCAACTTCAAGAGTTGAATAATCTTTTCAATGAGGCAATTAACATTGAATTGCTTATTTGTTTGACATGTTTATGTCCAAATGAATCATTTGTCGCTTTTGATAAACAAAAATTGATGCACCTTGCCAAACTTTATCTAGATGATTTTTCTGACTTAGAACTCATGGCACTTGATTCTCAACTTAATGTTTACATTTAAGATATGCACTCTAATGTCAAATTTATGAGATTGAAAGGGATTGGAGATCTTGCAAAAATGATGGTTGAAACTAAGAAGGATAGAGTGTTTTCATTAGTTTATTTGTTGATGAAATAAGCATTGATTCTACCCGTTGCAACTATTAGTGTAGAGAGATCATTTTCAACAAAGAATTTTGTAAAGAATCATTTGCGAAATATAATGAATGATCAATTGTTGAATGATAGAAAGATGTATTTGATAGTATTGATAATGAAGTCATTATACTATACTTTCAAAATATGAAATCTTATCGAGGACAATTATAAATGTATTAGTTGCTAAGAATTTTATAAATATAAAATTTGTGCTTATGTTAATTTAAAATTATATTGTTCTTCCAACTTTGACCCCTTACATTTTATTTATGGCTGTGTCCCTTCAAGTATACATCCCTCCCAATTATCTGAGTTCTTACTTCTTAATATATAATACCAATGTGACTATACATCCTTATTTTTAGGCATGGCAATGTTCCTTGGAATTCCGGGGACCCGTCCCACCCCGCCCCATATAGGGTGGGGAAGCCCCGATTTTTTTGGGGATAGGGCTGGGGGTAGGGGACATTTTAATCCCCGTCCTCGGGGATGGGGCGAGGGTGGGTGATGCCTTTCCCCCGCCCCGTATATATATATATATATATATACCCCTATTATCCTACCTATATAAACCCATATTTTCCCAATTTCTCTCACCCAAAACAATTGAACAAGAATAAACCCTAACCCATATTTATGTAAAATTAACTATATTTAAATGATTAATTTAGATGTTTGTCATGTAGACGAGAATTAACTATTGTGTTTGGTAATGCTCAAATTAATTTATGTTTATGTAAAATTAACGGGGCAGAGACGAGCCTCGAACATTCCCCTTTGGGGCCGGGAAAGGGAATTCCTATCATCCCGTAACAGGGATGGGGCAGGCAGTGATCTTGAGGGCGAGGATGGATACGGTGACTGAGATCCCTGCCCCATTGCCATGCCTACTTATTTTATTATCTAAAAACATGTAACATATAAATATATATAGCTATTATATTCTCTACATAGTTAGCCGCCCAAGTGCAAATCATTTGTAGCAGTAATTAATGAGACGAATTAAGCCATGCCATATATTCATGATCAGCCTCCTTGGTTCAAGGAACAATCATGATCATTAGTTTATATATCAAACAACTTCAAATATATGAATGTATATATTGATTTGTGTGAGTAGAAAGGTGGGTAACCGAGAGTGAAATTTAGAGTTTTGACTGAGCAAATACAATATGCAGCTTTATGTTTCCTTTAGCTTTACAGCTAAGCTTAATCTGGCATTCATAGATATAAGACTCGACCTAACCTAATATCAATATCATCTTATTCAATTTCTGACCCAAGAAAATGAGACATATACATATAATCTTAATAATAATTGAGGAGATTTTAATAATGAAATCATGATTGTATGGTATGGAGGAGGAAAGAAAGAGAGAGTCAAAGCGCCACCGCCAACTGACAGAAGCCCAATGTGGAGTCTATGTCAGCCAACTCGTCTCTTAGTATATGCCACATGGCATCGCCAACAATCTCTCATTAAATACTTACTCATGATTACATTACATAGCACCATGACTAATTGCTCTCCTCCTCTTGTTTCCCATTGATGATGGTGCCTGAATAAGTGAATGGTGATAAGAAAATTTGATCCTTTCACTAATAATTTTTCAAAACATTATGTAATCACTTATAGAAATACAATAATGCTACAGACACCGAGACTGTGTACCAAATTCTTACACCGAATTACGTGTCACGTAATTTAGACCAGTCACGTATCACATTAACAGATATTTTGCGAATGAACGGCCGTTCATCAACTATAGATAGTCGTTAACTGTTATTGGGTGGGAGTCCATTATATGTGGACGCCTGTCCATGTGAAATGAACAATGGACGGGTGTCCACCTATAATGGACTCCCGTCCATAGTTTAAATTTAAAAAATTTGAAAACAAAAATCATGGTCTCCCGTCCATATTCAATGGATGGGGGTCCATACTCAATGGATGGGGGTCCATACTAAATGGACGGGTGTCCACATATACTGGATGCCTGTCCATAGTTAAATTAAAAACATATTTAAAACAAAGTAATGGACGCCCGTCCAAACTTTAAATTAAAAAAAATTATAAATAAACTTTAGGGACGCCCGTTCATATGTTATGGACGACCGTCCCTGAATAATGGACGGGCATCCACATATAATGGACGGTCGTCCATACTTTAAATAAAAAATAATAATAATAAAACAAAATTTATGGACGCCCGTCCATACTTTAAATTAAAAAAAAATTTATAAAACAAAATTTATGAACGCCTATCCATATTTTATGGACAAGCGTCCTTGATTAATAGACGGGCATCCTTATTAGATGGACGTCCATTGTTTAATGAGTATGTTAAAATGAAATTAAATTTGGGTCCCAAATTAATTTTAAAAAACAGTAAGCCACTCTTCTTCTTCGCTCTTCTTCTTTGTCTTTATCCTTATCTCTGGTCTTTTTCTTCATCGAAGTTCTCATCTACCACTCTTCTTCTTCATCGAAGTTCTCATCTGCCGCTCTTCTTCTTCGTCGAAGTTTCTCATCTATCGCTATTCTTCTTCAAGTTCCTCATTTGCCATTATTATTGTAAGTGTTTTAGTCTATTTGGTTTCTATTCATCACGTTTTATTGGTTTTGATTGATGATTGAGCTTGTTTTATAGCGTTCACTCCTTTGTCTTGGTTCATCATCTGCCGCTCCAAGTCGTTGAAGCCATCTGCCATTTTTCAAGTAAGTGTTTCAGTTAATTTGGTTTGTGTTCATCATGTTTAATTGGGTTTGATTGATGATTGAGGTTGAGTGGCTAAGGTATGAAGTATTGGTTATGACAATTCCATTATGGGAAGCAATTGATGAATGTGTTAATATTGTCGTTGAAGCCATCTGCCATTTTTTAATGTGTATTTTTTGATGCGAAATTTTGAATGAATTGCACTAAACAAATAATTGAAACCTGAATTTTTCCCATGATATGTAGTCTTGGTTACTTGGAACTTGGGTAGCACATTTCTGTTTGTGTACATATCCCTTAAAGCCTAATCTCTGTCGTTTTGGCGTATGCATCATGGTAGCATGTAAAATCTGAATAGCCTATTGTTATCAGGAACATAAAGTTTTCCCATATAGAGTAATGTAAAATCTGAATGAGTAATCCTCCATCTCGTTCTTAGTAATGCTGAAATTTCTTATTTTTTGTTGATGCTTTTGGGAGTAAGTGTGTGAAGGAATCTCACTTTAGAAAAAATTAGACTAGTGAATTTGTGTTAAGGAAGTTGTCTGATTGATGTGCATTAGGTCTTGGTGTATAAATTCCTACTCTTTTATGTATTTAATGAATGTTCTTTAGAGATTTGAGTTGATTAACATGTTTGAGTAAGAGGCTATATAAACTCTTATGACTCCACAACATATGAGGGTAACCAGGGCAATATTGATAACTTACTTAAGATACTTTAATTTGCATATTTGGAGGTAGCTAACACATAGGGTGGCATGCTCCACTTTGTTCACACAAGGAATACTATGTCTAGCCTCTTTATGCATAACAAAAGCACTTATGTTTTGGTGTTTTGCTTTTGTTTTTCATTTGCTTTTTAATTTTAAATTCAACGTATCCATTACGTTTTGATTATGATTATGATTATGCAATATCCATGCATAATTTATCATTAATCTCTTAATAAGTGGGGGGTGAAATGAATTGTAGTTTGAATTTTGAGATTGAAAAGTTGGTGAAGTTTGATTTCATAAAGGAGAGGTTGGAATCTTCTTGTAAAATATAATCATGTCAGTTATTAATTTTTTGGCTACAGTCTTAAGATGATTTAAAATATAGCTTAGCTGGTATGATGTAATTCCCAAGTTACTTCTCTTTTAAAATTTGATTTTATATTTAACGTATCTATGTTACTTGTAAAAGCAAAACTCAGGTGATAATTTGATCAAGGATAGAAGCAACAACATTTTAGCATGTAGTGAATTATAATAGGAAATATTCAGGTTGATAGGTAAGCTTGATTTTTCATATGCAGTTCAACATTTACATGATGATGGCTTATCTTATTAACCATCTAGGTAGCTAATAGAACAGTCTATAAAGAACATGGCAAAGGGATGAAGCTTAAGTGGTATGGTCTACATAGATTATCACCAAAATTGGCACAATTCATGACTTATACCTAAAATTTCATATGCTTATCAAAATCAGAATTCATTAGGTCCAAAATGTCTATAATAAAGGTTTGGTTAATTCACTCCATTTTTTGCAAGTTAGGAAACTTTACTTCAGACACAATATCTTCTCAACAACATCAAATGTTTTCCTTGGGAACAAAGTTATGGTATGATGTGAATGTGAAACACTAAAAAACAAAGCCAAAAATTTATTGGAAATGAATTCAGAAAAATAAGTCAAAAAGCACTTTCAGGTGAATTTATAAGATCAATAACCTGGAGAGTGTACCTTTTTAGGTCACTGAAGAGATGAAATAATTTCAGCCTCATCAGCTATTCCTAATATCATAGGAAGATCTAAGGTAGAAAAGATATTAGAGGAAAGTGATTTGTTGAGATTCACATCATCTGTTGGTAGACTAACAGTAAATGATTGTTGAGTAGGCATAATTATTCCTAATGGCATTAACCTTTTTAAGGTACTGAATTCTATTGAGATATTAATTGTCCTTGCTTTTGACTGGCCTGAATGAAAGCACAATTTGATCAAATGATCAATTAGGCAGGCGAGCTAATCAAACAAATTATTTCCACTATTTCCTTGGCTAAAACCTTTTCGCATAGCTTGTATGATTTATGCAGCTGCCTCCCTCCTTGAAGGAACTGTGGATTTTGAAACTGCTGCCATAATTCATAAGGCTTGTTGTGGGTACATGAAGGAATAATACACAAACCTGCATCTAAAGATGTCAGGCAACACCTACCATTTTAAAAATAATAAGAGCAGTAAAAGAAGCATATTTAACTATGCATAAAAGTAATATTCAGACATTATAGAAATGAAGGAATCTTTACCTACCATTCTTATTGACACTTTTGCATCTTTCAAACTTCTTTAGTTATGACTGATTATGATGATGAATTTTTTATGTATACAGGTTTTAGAAGAAAGCAGAAAATGGTAAGAGCAAAAAATACAACCATTCCTCATGAAGGCACATCGTCATTTGGAATCCAATTTTGAGACTTACTATATAAAAAACAATACGAGGAGGTGTCGAACAAATATATTTGCCTTGGAAGAAGTTTGGATTTAGGACTTATAACAAGTTTGGGTTTATTTGATGAAATGAATGGTTGGATTCATAATTTGAAATGGGACCAATTGGTGAGTATTAGGTAAGATGGATATAAGCATTTGATCTATGAGTTTTTTGATAGTTTGGAAGTTGTGGAGACAGATACTGATGAGTTTTCGGCATATACAATGTTTTTTAGATTAAAGAATAAGAACTTTGTAGTGAGACCACAAGATTTAGCAACTTGGATAGGATTTGATTTTGAAGGTTTGAATAACATATCTAGAGCGTGGGATTTCAGACAAGCTTGGATGGTTGTTTCTAGGATAGGGATTTACCATCCACATAGGTGTAAATCTACAAAGTTAAAGAATCCCGCTATGAGAGTATTTCACAGATATATGACTTACACATTTAATGGTTGGAAAGAGACAAATGGAAATGTGACGGTTAAGGATTTAATGTTCATGGAAGTAGCAATAGGAGGGAGACAAGTAAATTCAGTGAAGTTATTGATTAAGAAGTTGGGAGAGGTTCAAGCAGAAAAAGGAGAAATATAGTGGGGGATGCTTGTTACATTAATATGTGAGAACTTGTGTATTCAGATCACCCCTAATGATGAAGCAAATAAGATTAAGTTTTCTGCAAATAATTTGTTGGGGGATGTGACATTGTGTAAAATGGGTTTGATTAAAAAGAATATGGCAGGAGAATGGTTTGTGATTAGGATGAAATGGAGGGAGATGCAACGATTCAGGAAGGTGTCAGTGTTCTAGAAGGGGTAAATGAAGAACAAGTCTATGTGCGCAAAAGAAGAAGAACGAGTAATGAACCTGGATCATCTCAGAATATACAAAATATGTCTTCTCATATTTTAGATGAAATAGTAAGCATATTTGAGTGGATCGAAAAGTATCAAAAGGAGTGTTTTTCACGTATTGACAGGAAAATGCAGGAACAACTGGATCAGTTGCAAAGTGATTTCAACTCGTTCGCATCAAGAATAGAAGAAACGATTGATATCCTTGGGGAACGCATGACAATTTTTCAGCATGATGAAGAACTTCTCAATAGTCTCCTCCTCCTCCTCCAGTCAACGTCCACCCCCTACACCATGATGAAGAATTTCTCAACAGTCTCCTCCTTGTCAACATCCTTGGAGGAACGCACTATGAATGTTAATTGTCATTATGTGTGGTTCAAATACTAAGCTTTATGTACGAAGATTATATTTGCCTTTTGTTCATAAATATGTTAATTGTTAAAGATTGATTTTAGCTGATGTTCTTGATAAAGATTGCCTTTTGTTTATAAATATATTTGCCTTTTGTTTATACATATCTCAACTACTCATTTGAATGCATATGTATATGTAATACCAAACATACCAAAAGACATCAAAATTCAAATCTCAAATGAAATGCATATCTAAAATTCCATCTACAACCAGTGTGACGATAATATATACTAAAAACATTCAAAATAAGTTACATTAAGGTCATTATCATGAATTCACAACCCTATAACAGACAACCTACTCATACACAACCAACGACCAAAATACTAAAAACAAAACAACTGAATCAGCATATAACTCAACTGCATTCGTCAGAAATTAACCAAAGCGTGAATAATTTCTACCAAATACAATTCTATATGCTTCAACCTATCAACAACATCAAATCTCTCCCAACGAAACATGTTTATCATTTACAGACTCCTGCCCAGTACAGAAATTACTTTTTCCTACAAGATTCTGAACCGGACTAGTGGATAACTGTTAATGTTTAACAACCATAATTTAGCACACGTTATAGAAAACTTAAGCCAATTACAATTATACAACATACATAACACGTACATGGGTAGCAACAACATCATTCGACAACACTTGAGTTTTTGGTATACTTTCAACAACGTTGATGTAATCATGTGGGAGGGCATTGGCCACTGAAGTAGAAGAAAGAAACTGTCTTTTCTCGCTCTACTAATGATCATTTTTTCTAAAAAGTAGCATAATACATTAATAATCAAGTTGATATTATTATAAACTTCAAAGAATAGGTGTAAAACTCATACCAATTCTTTGTTCTTGTAATTTTTTATTTTTAACCCTATATACAATTTCTTCAACCTTCGATTGCTTTCTTCTACATGGAGGACGACCTTTGCTACGAATTGTCTGTGGACTAATAATTAGACTATTCCCCTCTTTCGGAGGACTGTCCCCATCTTTATTACTTAAATCGATTGTGGAAGAGATGTTTACTTGTCTATCAAGCACTCCTTCACTTTCCTTTTGCTCCAACTTTTTTCTCATGTCAATCATAAATTCTATCAACATATTACAATCTTCATCATTGTTCGATGCCATATCGGCTACTGTCAGTATTATATTAGACAACTTATCAAAACGTTATCCTTCAACGTTGGTGCTCCACCTATTATAACTCAACTTAATTTTCGTATGGCATCTGTTTATATTTTTCCTCCAACACCGTAAAATGTACTTTTTTGGAACGTGTGAAACCCTTTTATGAATCAACACAATAATGGCATGTCTGTATAAAATCCCCCTGAACTCAAACAAATAGCAAGTACAATGAATATCACGCAAACTTTCTTCAAAGTATACCACAAAGGGAACATGACGACTACTATCTCCAAACCAAACATCTTCTAAAGCTTGATACTCCTTGTATGAATCACACTTTTTCAGAAAAGATAATTCACAATAAATCTTCCTCGCAATCTCTTCTTGAAACTCTTTAAACTTTGCAGTTGTGTATGCACTTTGAAATTGTTTCTCAATAGGGTAATTAGTTATGCATGGTATCGAAGATTTGAAAGATCTAAAATCCGCCTCCCTTTCTTTTTCCAATTTGTCTCACAATGCATTATCATATTGTTCCACAAATTGTTTCAAAGTAGTTTTGGAATTTACATATCCATCAAAAAATGCATGCATACTTTCTCTACGTTGGGTAGTAGACATACCTACCCAGAAAGTATCTTTAAGAAATGCAGGCACCCACTGTACTCTTTCTTTGTACAATCCACATAACTATTCATTCTTGTGAAGGTTGTGCACATCAACAAATTGGTTCCACCATTCTTCAAACTCTTCACGTGTAAAGGAATCATACACAATATTTTGTAACTTAAACTTTATAGTTTCATAGTCCTTATACCCTCTTAACTTTTTAGGCAGTTTCTTCATTATATGCCACAAACACCACCCATGTCTTGTTCCAGGGAAAACAATCTCAATTGCATTTTGCATGGCCTTATCTTAATCAGTGATAATTTCATTAGGAGCAACATCCATGCATTTTAGCCAAGAACGAAATAGCCATACAAATGTCTTAGTGTCCTCATGGGAAATTAACCCACAACTTAACAATGTCGAATGTCCATGATGATCAACCCCCACAAAAGCAGCAAATGGCATATTATACTTGTTCGTCAGATATGTTGTGTCGAAGGTCACAACATCACCGAATTCTTTATATGCGGCCTTACATCTAACATCAACCCATACCACATTCTGTAATCGACTCTCTTCATTTACATCAATCATGTACTAGAAATTTGAATTATCCTTTTACATTTTTATAAAATACTCGAGTACTGCCGAAACATCTCTAACTCTAAGTTATAGCCTTCTCACTTTTTCAATGTAGTTTCTACAATCTTTTTGTAGAAACGTCAAATTCTCTACACATGTTGCCTCAACTGAACATGACTGAAAATTTTTACACGGTCTAATTCCAGCCACATCATTAACTTTAAGCCTCCTTTTCACATAAGGTTGTATCGTTCGGTTAACCTTGAAATATCTTTTTTTTTTGGGACTCGTAAGATCATGGTTATGTTCAAGTACAACCGATTTAATTTTCCATTTGCATTGACCATTCAAAGCTACACTAATCCGACTCTTACAATCTGTTTTGGCAACAGGTTGCTTTTTCAAGGTATTTCTGGATTTACATCTCTCCTTCCCAAAACAAGAACACGCCACTGTCACGTATCTCATCTCCCCGTCATCGCCTTTCTTTGACGTACGTATCATTGTTTCAAAACCCATTTTGTTACCATACTGTTTGTAATACTTCACCAAACTATCAACTGAATCAAATACCATTCTAATATGAGGCTCCACTTCTTCCTCCGCACATCCCATATCTTCTAATTCATCACGTTCATTATCTTGATCATTTAATAGTTTTATAATGGACAAAATTAGAATGTACTAATACAACACATCATAAGAAACAATACGATACAACAAATTTAAAATCATGTTAATGAAAAAGTTAAGTTTCGAGCACAATTTACCTCCTCAACATCATTGAAATTAGGCAAACTAGACTCTTCCATATTCTGTAGTTTCGTGCAAAACCAATACTAGTGTTTGTGTTCACAAATCTGATTCATAACAATCACCAACAAATATTCTCTATAAGTTATTTTCTATTGTAACATATATTCAATCCAAAATATAATACAAAACTAAATAAATGCATAAATTAAATAAAAAACTCTTTAAGTACCTCAACAAATCTTTCTAATCTGAATTTTTTTTGATCTCCCTAACTCCTTTCCACCCTATACGATTGTTTCATGAAAAATTTAGTGGTTTTCTTTCTTGTCACGGTAGCTGCTTGTTGGCTGTTGAGGAAAAAACCAATTGTGGCTGTCGAGGAAGAAACTGGTACAACACTGAATATAAGACGCAGACGAGAAAAAGGCAGACGCGAAGAAAAGATGGGAATGACGAAGCCAAAGGTAATAGGTTTAAAAAGAAGTTTTTTTTTTTTTTTTTTTTTTTGTAAAAATTTTGGCACTTATTTTGGAGAAGTGTATTAGACAAGCTAATGATTTTTACAAATAGAAAAAAAATTATGTAAATTAAAAAAAAAATTTATTTATGCATGGATGGCCGTCCATTATTATATTACAAAATGTTTATGAACCAGAAAACTCAATTGAACAACCTTCTTCCTTTCGCGTTTCTGCATCTTCATCTTTCTCCCCTGACTTTCTTGGTTGGACCAACCCAACCCACTCGGAAGGCTTCATTAGGGTAGCTCATCCTTTTTTTTTTTTTGTTTTTTTGGCTGTTTGGATTACTAAAAAAACCAAACTGAAAGCATGGATGACAATGAAGAGCTGGATGAAGAAGAAGACTTTGAAGAGAAGATAAACTTTTTTTTTCCTAATAAGGACGCCCATCCATAACATATGGACAGGCGTCCATAAATTTTGTTTTATTATTATCATTTATTTAAAGTATGGATTGACGTCCATTATTCAAGGACGACCGTCCATAACATATGAACGGGCGTTCCTAAATTTTGTTGATAATTTTTTTTTTTAATTTAAAGTTTGGACGAGCGTCCATTAAAGGTGGACGCCTATCCATTAAGTATGGACTCCCGTCCATAATATATGGACGGGTGTCCATTACTTTTGTTTTAAATATGTTTTTAATTGAAATTATAGATAGACGTCCATTATATGTGGACGCCCATCCATTTAGTATGGATCCCTGTCCATTGAATATGGACGGGAGTCCATGATTTTTGTTTTCAAATTTTTTAAATTTAAACTATGGACGGGAGTCTATTATAGGTGGACACCCGTCCATAGTAAATGGACTCCCGTCCATATAATATGGACGGGAGTCTATCGTTCATTTCGCATGGACGGGCGTCCACATATAATAGACTCCCCGTCCAATAACAATGAACGACTGTCCATAGTTGATGAACGGTTCACTCGCAAAATATTTGTTAATGTGATACGTGGCTGCTCTGAGTCACATGACATGTAATTCGGTGTAAGAATTCAGTGCATAATCCTGGTGTTCATAGCATTATTAATAGAAATATTACTTAATTGTCAACCATGGTTTATTTTATAAATCGATGGTGTGGTGTCTTTTTCATTCCTTCAAAGATGAAGAAGCTCTATGCTTGCTCTTAATTCCTTAAGCACCTTTGAACCCAAGATCCTTTGGTCTTTTAACTCTTCAATTCATCATTCACTCCATTAGTTCAAAAGGGGTGGTTAATTAATTTAATTTTTGATTATACCAAATTAAATATTGCCAACTTCATCTATACCCATTTACCCAACACCAACAACAAAATAAGACAGGCTAAGAAAAATGATTTCGGGTAAAATTTCTGGTAATTGAGTAATTGACCATATATCTGTTGGAAGGTAATCAATCAACATGTTAAATAATGGTCTAAAACTAGAAATGTCCCCACTTAATAAAACAAAGGATTTATTAATTAAATAGGC